GTGTTGGTGGGTCTTGGTGCCTCGTCTCCTCACTGCCATGAAGAGCATTAAGATGGACGCCGGCCGGAGGGACAGGAAGCAGCCAAGGAGAGGCTCCCTCCCGTCAAGGGCTCCCCAAACTTGGCCGCTTTAAGTCTGGTGGACTTCCAACTCCCAGAATTCTCCAGCCAGCATAGCCTAGCCTAGCATAGCATAGCCTGCTAGGGAATAGCATAGCACGGCTGGCTGGAGAATTCTGGGAGTTGAAGTCCACCAGACTTAAAGTGGCCAAGTTTGGGGCGCCCTGGTCAAGGGGATGCAGAAAGGGACTCCCACCCCCCTAAGCAACCCCCAGGGCTCGGGGAAGCTGCCTCTTTCCAAGGGCGGCTTTTGGGCCTCCCATGAACACTTACCGGACACGGACGGAAGGCTCCTTCTGGGCTGTGGCTCCCCAGGAGGGCTGCGGAGTGGGACGTGGGCTTCACACCTGCACCCTGGCCGCACCTGGAGAAGGGCAGAAGGGATCAGGGGTAGCCAGCCCAGCCCCTTCCAAGGCTTCCTGGCTCCCACTGACACGCCAACCTGCTTCACTCCTCCATCCTTTGCCACCTTGTTCATGATTTTATCTGTTGTTTTATAATGGGTGATTTTAATGTCTTTTAATGTTTCTGGGTTGGATATAAGATTCGGGGTGGAGTGGGGGCATAAATTTCATAATAAAGGACTAATAAACACTCCTGGTCCCTTGTGGCCTATCTGGGCCCAGGAAACAGCTCGGGAGGGGCCCTCCGATCCACGGCAGAGCAGGCGGCGGCTGGGCCCCGATGAGCGAAAGGGGAGAGAGGCTCTGAGCCCCTCCGGGAGCACGTGGGGAGAAAGGGCTGCGCACCCCCCACATGTGGGGAGTTTTGCCTTCAATTGCCACCAGAATAACAGAGCCGGAAGGGACCTTGGAGGTCTTCTAGTCCAACCCCTGCTCAAGCAGGAGACCCTGCGCCGTTTCAGACAGGGGGCGGTCCACTCTCCCGTTGAAAGTCTCCAGCGAGGGAGCATCCACAACCTCTGGAGGGAAGTCACCCCACGGGTTCATTGTCCTCCCTCCTCGATTCCCGGTTGCTCCTCTCCTGGATGAGTTTCCACCCGCTGCTTCTTGCCTTGTCTGGGGCTTTGGAAAGTAAGTCCCCCCCCCCTTCTTTGGGGCAGCCCCTCACATTCTGGAATCCTGCTGTCATGTCTCCCCCGCCCCCGCCAGTCCTGGCCAAACCCAAACCCTGCAGCCGTTCTTCCCAGGTTTTACCCTCCAGGCCTTCGATCCTCTCAGTTGCTCTTCTCGGCCCTTTTTCCAAAGCCTCAACCTCTTTTTTGCAACGTGGGGACCAAAATGGGATACAGGATCCCAGGTGTGGCCTTACGGAGGGTTTATAAAAGTGGTACTTTTATGCGGTTTGAAAAATTCTGGAAAGTTGGTGCTGCCGCTGCCAGGAGAGATGTTCAAGGGGGGGCCTTTGGTTCCCCAACCCCCGCATTCCCCAGCTGAACATGGAGGTTGACCCACCCGTGGACGTCCTCCGTGGCCGGGGAGCGCCTTCTCACGGAAGCTGTGCTAGAATCGGGGCCTGGCCTGCTGGCTCCGGCCTTTTCGGGGAGGCCAAACCGGTTCCCAATTCAGCCCAAAACACAAGAACTTACGGCAGCCAAGCGTAGCCGGCAGGCTCCACAGGCAGGACCTTGGACTTCTTCTCCAGCTGCGGCAGGACTGCCTCCCCGGCCCTCTTTCTGGCATAGGGGTGCCAGGGAAGGAGGAGGGGGCACGGCTGCTGCCCAGCCGTGCCCACGGCTGCGACGGGCTCAGGAGCAGAAGCCCCTTGGGGTCCGGGGGGCTCAGCGCTTTCCAGGTTCTGCTGGGAGGGAAAATGGGGACCAAGCCATGAATTGAAGCAGGTTAAAAATCAGGAGATGCGAGTTCTAGTCCTGCCTTGGGCACAAAAGCCGGCTGAGTGACCTGGGCCAGTCCCCCTCTCTTAGCCCAACCCACCTCACAGGGTTGTGGTTCTGGGGAGAATAGGAAGAAGCTGTGTTAGATATGTTTGCTGTCTTAAGTTATCTGAAGGAAAATAATAAAGGCGGGATAAAACTCTAATAAGGAAATAAAAATAACCCAGCAATAACAAAGGCCACAAGATGGAAAAGTATTGGAAGGGCGAAATATGGGCGGTGTCTGCCTTCCTGCCCCACAGGACCCTGGGGCACAGCTGAGGGGGCTTCGCCCAATGTAGGGTGCAGAGACTGGAGCCCCCCCCCCAAGCATTTTTCCTCCCTAATTCTCACAGCAACTGATCCAAAACCTGAGCCAAGCCGCCTGTCCCTCACCTGGCCCAGGTAGGGGACTCCCAGCGACAGCAGCGTCTCCCTTCCTTGCTGTGGGCTGAGCTCCTGCACCCGGGTGGCCGCGCTGAGCCTGGCTGCCAGGCAGTCCCTCAGCCTGGGAAGCTGCCTCTCGTCCTGGGTCGCTTCCCGGATGACCAGGGCTTCCTGGCTGCACAGCCCTGGAAGGAAGAGCAGAGCCAACCCCGGTTCTCCCGGCCCCTCTGAGCACCAGGGCTGCTTGGAGGGGGGCGGGGGGCGGGGGAACGGCTGCCTAGGGCAGGGCCCTCCAACCTGGGCCGCTTCAAGTCTCGGGGGGCTTCAACTCCCAGCAAAGCCAGCGGAGTTAGAGCAAAGCCGGCTGAGGAATGCTGGGAGTTGAAGCCCCCCGAGTCTTGAAGCGGCCCAGGTTGGGGGCCCCACCTGGCCTAAGGGGTTCCCCTCGAGGGTCCGTGCCAGGCTGCGCCACAGAAGCCCCCGTGCAGGGCGGGCGATGAAGGGGGGCTGGCGGACCCCTCCCCCAGCAGCAGCCTTCCTGTTTCGGCTCACCTGGGCTCGGCAAATGGACTCTGCACTGGACGCCAACTTCCCAGGCGGCTTTTGCAGAGACGCGCAGGATCAGGCAGCCCAGGGGCAGGCAGACTTCGCAGCGGTAAACGCTCCCAAGGGGGAGGGAGGCCTGGGTGGGCTCACCTGGGAAGACAGCAGCAGCAGCAGCAGCTCAGGTCAGCGGGGGACTGTGCATTTGCCCCCCCCCGCACCCCCCCCAAACTTCCGTTCAAGGCTGATGGCGCATTATTGTTTAAAATGAACGCCAAGCCAGGATCCAACATTGGGCACCTAGAAGCCACCTTGTTTTGCCCAAGGGAGGCCGGGCATCATCTGCAGCCAGTGCTTGGACTGAAGGACCCCCAGAGGTCGCCCTCCCTTAGCCACCATTTGGCCCGCAGCAATTGTTGGATGCTGCAAATGGACGGGGCTCAGGGCCTTGAAGTTATGGCTGCTGCCGTGCCCCTCCGGTCACCGGATCAAAGTTTGGGTGCTGGGCGGGCGGGTGGGTGGGGGAGCTGAAGCAGAGCCTCCTCTGCCAAAGGGAGCTTGCTGGGCCCCCATCGAGGAGGCAGTGGGGCAAAGTGTGAGGTCCTCGCCTAATGACCACAACCAGCCCTATAGAACTGCCGTCGTGAAGCAATGCAGTTTTGCCCAACGGTTGCTTTGCTTAGGGTTGTTAAGCGAGGACCGTCTACTGTTGCTGGACAGCAGCCCCCGAGGGTCTTTCTCTGCTTCTAAGTGACCAATGGCAAACTCAAGGTGATGACCCCAAGGGGCGTGGCACAAAGGCAACCCAGTCACATAAGCAAGGAGAGTCCCTTTATTATCTCCAACTTTGCCCCCCGTGTCCAGGGCACCCTCCGCTGGAGAAAAACTCTCCCAGGAACAGCCTTTAACGGAGGAAATTAAGTCCGAAAACAAAGCACATACAAACTGTAACTAAAAATCCACATAAACCAAGCTGCAGCAATTAACTGGACAGAGTAGGAGAAGGAACTGCAGACTCGAAAGGCCAACAAAAGACACACAGTTGGGAAGATGCCAGGAACCCAGATACAGTCACGTTTGCTCCCAACAGTCTGCTGCACACAGCTTGCCTTTTTAAAACGCTGTGTTCCCAGCTGCGGCTATTGAAGGGAATCAGGGCCCTTTCCTCCCCCATAAGCCATACAATCCACGTTGCTCCCTTCTCCGTTCTTCCCTGCGTGCCCTAGGATGAAGAGTGGGTGGGCCTGGGTCTTTCTCTGCCTTGCTCTACCTCTCCCCTGCTCTGCCCAACCAGACCGTGCCCTTCCCCAGTTTCTTCCACAGCCAACGGTGCCACACTCCCGCTCCCTGTCGGCTGTTTGGCTTCCTCCTCCGAGTCAGATTCCAGCAGAGGCATGACACTCTTCCCATCGCCAGAGGGACCACGTGAGCAGACCGCTCTGCTGTGGCTTCTGCCCGGAGGGGATGCCTACCAAACAGAGCATCGTGCCAGGAAGCACCTCTCAACAGCCCCCCACCCACCCGCAGAGAGTGGCCAAGGGGCATCACAGCCAGTTTTGGCCAAAGCTGGCTGCAGAGCAGCACAAGGACCTGCCAGTCAGGGCCAGCCTGGCACCTCCGTGCCCCAGGGACTGAAGGCGGGCCTCTCCCCTCTTCTCCAGAGGCCCCGAGTGCCTCACCCACCAGCCACTGAGATGAGAGGCCCCACACGGCCACCACAAAGAACCAACCAAGCAGCTCCTGAATGGAGCCACTGACCCCTCGCACGGCTACCTGCGCAGGTGTGCCAACTGCCCCCCCCAACTGGGTTAGGATACTCACCTGCCAGAGTCAAGGTGATGTGCTCCCCGGACACCTTGAAACAGAAAAAGAGACGCTGGAATGAGAGGGAGCTAACCTGGAAGGGGACATGGTGAGGAAGGCTACCTTTTGGGTCAGCGGTGGGCGCCCAAGACCCCACCCACAGCCCAATTCGCGGGGAGAATGACTCCGAGGGAACCCCTCCTCCCCCCCATCACACACACACACACATTTGGCTCCTCCCGGGCTCAGCTCGACTGGCTGTTTCCTTGGAGAGCAGAATCTCCCCTCCATACACTGCTAAATTCTGAGCCAGCCTTTCCGAAAGATGCTGGCTTGGAACAGGCCACGGTGGTGCAGTGGTTAGAGTGCAGCACTGCAGGCTCCTTCTGCTGGCTGCTGGCTGCCAGAAGTTTGGCAGTTCGAGTCCCACCAGGCTCCAGGCTGGCTTGGCCTTCCGTCCGTCCGAGGTGGGTCAAAGGAGGACCCAGGCGGTTGGGGGAAGCAAGAGGCGGCCCAGAAGTCCAGGGGCCTTGCCTTCGCTTCGGGGTTTCCTGACGTGCATCCGAAGCAGGCAGGCCAAGTGGCAAAGGGAAGGTGGCAGAACCTCTCCAGGGGGAGAGGGGCGAATGGGTCAGGGCCCTTTCGCTTTACAGGCAGTCCTCGACTTACAATCATTTGTTTAGTGACCATCCAAAAGTTTCAACAGCAGTGAACAAAGCAGCGACGTGACTGTTTTTCACCCTTACGACCGTTGCAGCCTTCCTGTGGTCACGTGATCCAAATTCAGGCGCTTGGCAACTGACTTGTACTTATGGCGGTTGCAGGGCCCTGAGGGGTCATGTGGTTCCCTTTTGCCCCCTTCGGATAAGCCAAGCCAACGGGGAAGGCAGACGAAGTGGATAGCTGCAGCGATTCTCTTAACAACGGTGGCAAGGAAGGGCATAAAATGGGGCCCAACTCGCTTAACAAATGAGTCTCACTTAGCAATGGAAATCTGGGGCTCCATTGCGGTCACAAGTCGAGGACCACCTGTATTAACAATTTTGGGCACTGCAACGAAACGCTTTGGAAAGCCCGGTGCTGTTTGGAAGGAGATTCTGCCAGTCCCGGGACTCATTCCGCCGCCTCGGCTGCCGAGAACCCAGGTGGTCCCTGCTGCCGTCTCCCCCAAACTCCCTGCCCCTCCCCAGTGGCTGACCTACCTGAATGGCCACCAGGTGGGGCAGAGGGAGGGCTCCGACTCGGACATCCATGGATGCGGCCGGAAAGCTGACGCAGCCCCCACTTCCTGGCAGTTTGGCCTCTGTTTTGGGAGGCTGCTCCTCTGGCTGCAGGGCCGTGGGAAGCACGTAGTCCACGCCCGAGCGCTGGCAAATCTTGTCCACCTTAGCACAGAGACGCTGCAATTCTGGAAGAGGGTGGCACCAAAGCCAGGGTGAGAACCGGTACGAGGGGCCTGGTGGCATTTGGCCAGTTTCCCTAAGACGGGGTCGCCAACCTCTTGGACCTCAGGGACCACCAAACTCATAATCTTAAATCCCGCAGACCAGAGACCTTGGGAAAATCCCCCAAAAAGTCTTCAGGAAAATCCCCCACCCCATTTACCTACCGATCAATTGTTCTTTATTTGGGATTGCAGGAGACCGTCTCCAGCTCCGTTCTCAGTGGGAGAGAGAGAGAGACTTTTGGCTTCATGCAAGGAAAGCAGCAGAAGCCGCAAACGTCTTTCTTTCTCTCCCCCAAACTCCGCCAGAAATGAGCCTCTTGGAGCAGGAGGCCTTGCAGGGTCCCCAAGACTCCTTTGTGGCGGAGTTTGGGGGAGAGAAAAAAAGACTTCTGCTGCTTTCCTTGCGTGCAGCCAAAAGCAGAAGAAGAAAGAAGCGGAAAGAAGCAGCCCGATGGACAGGTGTGTGGGGCGCGTGGGGCAAGTTCCCCTCCCTCCGCCCTTTCCCCCCTCCCCTCACTACCTCGTGTGGTTCCCAATGCAAGCGACGCAAGCGCAGCCTGGATTCATTGCTTTGGGGGTGACATTTCTCTGCGGACCAGCAAAATTTTCTCACGGACCACCAGTGGTCCCCGGCCCACCGGTTGGCGACCCCTGCCCTAAGAGAACACCACCAGCCCCAGCTGGGTGAGATGACTCAGCCCCATCCCCATCGAGAAAGGGGGCCCACACGTCTCCTCCAGGGGTGCCCAAATCAGGGGGGCTGATTCCAGCGGGAGAGCCATTTCCACTCACGGCTTGGAGAAAGAGCTGGAGGGGAATCGTGTGAAATGCACACAGAGGGACTAAAACTGGGCGGGGCAGTTCATCAAAGAAGTGACCTTCAAAAGGATCAATTGGCAAAGTGCCAATTGCCGACCAAAAGGAATAAACGGCCACCCTCCGTTTCCTGACAGGTTAAAACATGGGCTGCAAGTAACCAGGTGAAGGAAACAAGAGACACGGGCAGAGTTTCCTCCTGGGTATTGATGGGCAGGTCCATTCTGCCATCTTCGGCTTGGCGCCTTGCAACAGACGAGGTGAGCCTGCCTTACCTGGAAGGATCTCCTTGTTTTTCTGGACCGGCCTCAGCAGCGGCTCGAACTGCATCCTGATGGACGTGGCCAGCTCCTGGGCCACCGACTGCAGGCTGCGGTGGATGGACAGCTGGGAGGGAAAGCAGGAGTGAAGCCCCCTGAGCAGCTGGTCAGGCCAAGGCCCTCCCCGCTCCCCCAACAGCAAGCGGGGAAAGGGGCTCAGAGGGAGGGGCTGTGGTCTTCCCTCGGTGCAGCCAAGCTCCCAGCCCCGGGAAAGCCCACAGGGAGTCCTCGACTTACAACCCAGTGCCTGGAAATCGGCCCGGAGGGACCCTGACAGGCGCTTGGCCGTTCTGGGGCCGCCTCACCTGGAAAAGCTCCAGCTGCTGCCACATCTTCTCCACAGCCGAGTCAAAGATGGCGTCCTTCTGCAGGTGGACGAATGTCTCCATCTCCTCTTTCATCCTCTGGAAATACCCCCGGCCGGAGAGTTGGGAGCAGGCTGCCAAGAGATTGCGCAAGTCGGTCCTCCCCGTCGTGCCTCGGGCATCCTTGAACCCGTGCCGGGGGAACCAGCTGACGCAACGTAGTCCTCCACTTACAACAGTTCGCTTAGTGCCTGTCCGAAGTTACAACGGCACTGGAAAAAGTGACTTACGACCATGTTTCACACTTATGACCGTTGCATCATCCCCATGGTCTCTACGCGGTTTGCATTTGAATGCTGGACAACTGACTCGTATTTATGACGGTCGCAGTGCCCCGGGATCAGGCAGTTCCATTTTGACCAGTAAAGTCAATGGGGAAACCAGGTTCACTTAACAACCGTCTGACTAGTGGTTCACTTAACAACTGTGGCAAAGTTGCAAAGTGGGCCAAAACTCACTGAGCAAATCTCATTTAACTACATAAATGTTGGTCGTAAGTGGAGGATTTCCTGCACAAGCCTTCCTGTGTAGCGTGGGGAATTCTGGGAGTTGAAGTCCACACATGTGAAAATGGCCAAACTTCAGAAAACAGGGAGCTGCCCTGGCCACGTTACTCTGTGCCTCAGAGGAGCAACCAGATCACTTTCTTTGAGAGGGTGGATCTCCCTCGTAGTGCCACCTCTTTCCCTCTCGTTCTTCCTCCTCAGGACCCCAACACTGGACTCCCGCAGGAGGGAAGCCGGGCCTATAACACGGCGGGTGGCCCAGGGGCACAAACTGAGCCGCGTGTCTCCTATGGTGGGGGTGTGGCTGGAGTTATGCCTTAGACTGGGCCAGGGGTGGGCAACGGTGGCCCCCTTCAACTCCCAGGATTACCTGAGCCAGCTGGAGCCCACAAGCCACAGAGGCACCGTGGTTGCCCACCTCTGCACGAAGCCATAAATGGGTGTTTCCTCCGGGCCGCCTCTGCCCTCCCACCACCTAACGTAGCTCCAGAAGAGGGAATTCCTTGCAGCCCCTGGGCAGGAACCCAGGGGTGAGGGAGCCTCCCGGCGACAGGTCACCTGCATAGGCCGGTTCCATGGCGGCCTGAATCGTCGGGATCAAGAGCCGGGAAACCGTCCGCTGCTTCCTCGTGATGGAAGTCGTCTGATCCAGGGTGAAGTTGAGCAACTGGAGACAGGAGGGAGGGGAAAATCCCGTCAGAGTCCCCCGTCTTGTAAGGGGACCCTCCCTTGGGGGACCCCTGGGGGCAAAAGGCAAGCCCAGGGGCTCCAGGGCCTCACCCGCGCTCGAGCGGCTTCCATCTGCTGGGCGTGAATCGCATGCAGGGCTTCGGCAACCGGGCGGTGCTGGTGCAGTTTCTTCTTGAGGCCCCTGAAGAAGGAGCTCAACTGGTCCAGGAGGGCAGCTGTGAAGCCCTCGATGGAGCTGGCCAGCCGGGAGCTGCGGGAGGGGGGAAGCGGCCAAGGGCCCCATCAGCCCAGCAGGGGAGCCCCCAAGGGGGCCGCAGAAGCCGCCTCCAGCCTCCCAGAGGCCCCCCCTCTCCCACCACGGCCCAAAGGGCAGCCCCCCCCGGGGGGGGGGGGGAGATGCTGGGATCCCTTTGCATCCAACCAGGCAGTCCTCGAGTTACGACCACAATGGAGCCCACCATCCGCCTTGCTAAGCGAGACCATCAAGTGAGCCTTGCCCCATTGTACGACCTTCCTTGCTTCGGTTGCTAAGTGAATCCCTGCACTCGTTAAGTGAGCCACCCGGTTGTTAAGTGGACCTGTTGCCCTTGCTGGCCAGGAGGTCGCAGGAGGGGGATCCCGGGACCCTGCAACCGTCGTAAATACGAGTCGGTGGCCAAGGGCCTGAATTCCGATCCCGGGTCCAAGAGGGAGGCTGCAGCAGCCGTCAGTGTGAAAAGGGGCCCTTAACTAAGTCACCTTTTTCAGGGCCGTTGTAACTTTAGTAAGTCCCTAAATGGATGGTTGTAAGTTGAGGAGTGCCTGGACTTGGAGCTCCCAAGGCAAAACGGGGGGGGGGGGGGTCCCGCCAAGAGCCCCCGGTCTCAGGAGGGGCCATGACCCCCCCCCCCACACACACACACGGCCGCCTAACCGTGATGGACCAGGTTCTGTGCTGGAAACCGGCGTTTAGCCCTGGATTCCAGCCAAGAAAACCGTTACAGGCAGCGGGTTGGTTGAACGGCCGCTGCAATTAATTGTCGAAAAATTGGGCTGGTCAGGTCTAATAACCAGCATGGCTTATGGCTCAGTTATGGTCATAGTTTGAGGACCGCCTGCCTTACAGGACCTCCCCGCTTGCCTGTGTGTTTGGTCCCCTTCCCTCCTGGGATGGGGGGTGGCTGGGAGCAGCCAGGCTGCAATCCCCCCCAGCGCAGCCCCCTCCTCCTGGGGCCAGAGCCCAGGCACCTTCTCCCAGGGATGGGCCTGGGTTCCCTCCACCCAGCCCCCCACCCCCCCCGGCAGAAGGCAGGCCTGGCTTTGGGGGGAAGGAGCTGGAAGCGCACAAGGAGCCCCCCAGGAATTGAGGGAATATCCAGGGACGGAGAAGCAGAGATCGGGAGCCAGGTTATTCCTGCCCTGGGCTAAAATGTCACTTACTCTGCCTGAGAGAGTTACAAACGTGGCTTTCCTCTTATTTCTCTGCATAAGCACCTTACTGGGTGTAATTTCACAGTAATTACTTTTCGTTTGCAATGTCTTGGGAGCAAATATATAACTTGGAAACAATCTCTCTCTCTCTCTCTCTCTCCCCCTCTCGAGATTACAATGGACCCACATTCTCCATTATGTGGGGGCTCCAACACTAGAAGCTTTTAAGAAGAGACGGGTCAGCCATTTATCCTGTCTCCTGCCTGAGAAAAAGGTTCGGCTAGAAGACCTCCAGGGTCTCTTTCTATTCCATTATTCTGTTATCATGTGGTCTGCCAGCCGGCTTTATAGATCCTATTGGAGTCATTTAATAACTCTTTCGATTTCACTTATCCCTTTTGTGATTGATGCATGTCATAAAAGGAAGAGGAAGGCCTCCAGTCACATAGCTTTAAAAGAGCAGGAAGCCGTATTCACCACCCTTATTATGGCCCCCCAAAATAAGTGGGGGCCTCTCTTTCTCCTTCCTGGATTGGGCTTGGAGAGAGGGGGAACAACAGGTGAGGCACTGCCTGGACGCAGTGACTTTGGGTGTGTGTGTGTGTGTGTGTGTGTGAGAGAGAGAGAGAGAGAGAGAGAGAGACCAAGCTGGCTCTCCAGGGCAGGATGGGAAGACCCCGATGGCTGGAGAGGGGCCACCTTTGGCCTCCTGTCCGGTTTCTCCCCTCTGACTCGGCCAAAGGGTCCCATGGGTTCAGAGGAGGCGTGGCTGCTGCTGGGGGGCGGAGCCTACCTGAAGACCTCGTTCCAGGCCAGGGAGATGACCTGGAGGATGGGCTCGGCCAGCTCTTTGTTGAAATCCACAGACTGGTACTTGGGAGAGGTGTAAACGCCACGGTGGTTGCAGATCGCCCGATAGGCCCCGTGGGGGTAGCCAACCACCTGCGGAGGGGGGCAGAAGAGGCCTCCATCAGAGATGCCAGCTCCGCTCCAGGCTCCCCACTTTCAGGGCCAAGTCCCGAGGGGAGCCCACAGTTGCTGGACTCCTCTCATACAGACGTGCATCACACGGGTCAGGGCTGAAGCAGGAAGTCTGTAAGCAGCCGACACGCGTCACTTCCAACATTTTTGTTAGTTGTAGAGTATTATAAAATACAAAATACAGAAGTAAATAGAAGAGCTTCCGTTTACTTTTGCATTTCTTTTATTTACTTTTGTATTTTTTATTTTATAATACTCTTATAACCAGGGGTGGGATTCAAATTTCTTAAACATCCGTTTCTGTGGGTGTGGCTTAATTTGTGGGTGTGGCTTGGTGGTCATGTGACTGGCTGGGCATGGTTTGTATGTAAATATTGTAAATATTTATGTAAATATTGAATTTTTTATTAAAAAAAGAGCAACTTTTACCCAAAATCAGGCAAAGCAGGCAGGCAGATTGAGTTGCTCACAGAATCACAGATGCACTCAGAGATCTATCTATCTGCTATCTGCTGAGTCTGCCCTGAAAAATAGAAACTTCAGTCCTAAGGAAGGCTCAGCTCTGCTTTTAGATTAGCTAGAAAGCAAGATATCCAACGATTTCCTGCTTTCTAGCTAATCCAGTTGGAACAGCTGATGGTCGGGGGGGGGGGGGAAAAAGGAAAATTAGCATCTTAGCAGGCAAGTTGGATGGCACGCATGCCAAGTAAGGAGTGGCAGGGCCAGCCAATGGTGCGATTTGCCGGTTCTCCGAACTGCGCAGAATCGTAACAACTGGTTCTATAGAACTGGTGCGACCAGGTAGAATCCCACCCCTTCTATAACTCAGTAAAAATGTTTGAAAGTGACCCTCGTCAATGATAACAACATGGCAAATGTGGACCTTGATTTCCCTCAATGGCCCGAGAAGCCCCAACCGCTTGGTGAACAGCTGCAAAAAGGATCTTGGGGCAGCCTGCAGGCCCTCCTGTGAAAAAGCCGCCTCCCAGATCCCAGCAAAAGTCTGAAAAACAGGCCCTGGACTTTTCTGCCAATCTAGAAAAGAAGGCTGCAGAAGGGGAAACGGGCAGGAGGAGGAGAATCCACACGGCCTTACTTGGAATATCGACCCCCCCCTGGCTCAGTTGGCCAAACATGGCTGGAGCCCCCTGGCTGGGCAGCCTGCTGGAGGCTTAACCATGGCTAATTGCAAGGCGCCCTGGGTACGTTTTGCTACGCTTTTCTATTTTGTTTATCTGGGTTTTTATATACTTGGCTTGTATTTTGTATATTTTGTCATTATGTGAGATGGGTGGCTATACAAATGTGATGAATGAATGAATAAATAAATCACGAATAGCAGGGGGGTTGCAGCTCCTTCCCATCTCACCAGCGGCCTTTCTATATACTACTTCAGTTTGCTCAAACCTTAGGAAGGCCACGCCTGGAATACGGCATCCAGGTTTGGTCCCCACATTACAAAAAAGACTTTGAGACTTTGGAAAAAGTGCAGAGAAGAGCAACTCAAATGTTTGAAGGCCTGGAGACAAAAAAACGTACGAAGAACGTCTGCAGGGTTTGAGTTTGGCTAGTCTAGTGAAAAGCCTTCCAGCATTGGAGGGGCTGCTCCAAAGAAGAGGGGGGGGGGTTCAGCCTTGGAAGACCTGGAAGGCTGGACAAGAAGCAACGGATGGAAACGAACCAAGGAGAGAAGCAACCTGGAACTAAGGAGAAACTTCCTCACTGTGAGGACAAGGAAACAGGAAGCTGTGAATGCCTGGACGGCCACCTGTCTGATGGGGCAGAGGGTCTCCTGCTCGAGCAGTGGGCTGGACTAGATGACCTCCAGGGACCCTTCCAGCTCTATTGCATTCTACAGGTGAAAAACAATCCCAGATTCCCAAGATGGACCAGGTCCTCCCATTCTAGGCAGGATCCGCTACGGACCATCCCTGAAGGCTTCTAACCAGGGCCTGTCCCAGGGTCCCCTGCCGGCTGCTTCGGGGGTCGTTTCCTGGAGGGGGCTCTGAGCAAAGAGGCACTTACCGGCGAGCCCCAGCCTTTGGCGATGGCCTCGGAGAGCTGCTTGGCCCTCTCAGCACCGTTCTGCAGGCTGCCCAGGAGGAGGGCCTCGAAGGCCCGCCGGAGGTCCTGAGCGCTGGCCCTGAGGACCCCCTGGAGGAGGGCAGGGAGGCCCTGCAAGGCCTGCTGCAGCATCTCCTGCACCTGGGCCTGGTGGGCATCAGCCTGCGAGGGAGCGAGGGAGGAGGCTCTTAAGGAGAGGCTGGGCACCCAGATTTGCCCAGAATGGCCTCCTGCTTCTGAAGGGGGGTGGACTGGAAGACCTCCCAGGTCCCTCCCAACTCTCTTATTCTGCCAGCTTCCAGTCAAGATTTGGGCGCCCAAATTCCCCCCACAAGGGAGCCCAGGGTTCCCAGTGCCGCTCCTACCTCCGTCCTCTGGCTGTTGAGGTAATTCACCATTTGGCTCAGGACACGAGCCACGTCCCGGATGACCTTCTCGGTTGCCACCATGCTGTGCTTTAGCGCTGTGTCCATGGCAAACTTCTTCAGCGCAGGAATCTCTGGAGGGAGGGAGGGAGGGAGGGAGGGGAGTTCGTTCTACCGGCAGCTCTTCTGCCAACCTTCCTGGCAGCCAAGCAGAACTATTAAGTCGTGAGAGGGTCCAAATGCCACAAGAGCCTCTTGGAAGGAGGCTGCGTTGAACCGTCTACAAGAGGCACTGTTAGGAATGTAAGTCACCTAACAGTTGGGTTGGAAAATATATAAACCAGGATAGACATTTTAATAGTGTCTCTTTAAGAGAATGCTAAAATTGGAATTGCGTATGGTTCCTCAAACGGCCATAAGATGGAGCCAGAAACCTGGGTTGTTCTGTTGTTGCTGAGAGTGTGTTCCTGCATTTCCCTATTGACTGTTACTGATCATCATTATTCTTGATTTGATGTAAGTCTGTTACTGAACTGTTTTCGATACTGGACTTTGTTCTTGGATTATCCCTGGACTGAAAACTGACTGCTTGAACCGTGAATGACTTGGACTGCTTGTTGAACTTTGCTTAACGGTTTTGCTGGAAGTAAAAACCTACATTTTACTATACAGTGTGGCTGTGTACTGGTTGTGTGTTATTCTTCACCACTCTCACTACGTCTCCCTGTGTGCGCTCATTCTCCTAACCGGGAATTACCTCAACAGGCACAACGGAAGGAGGTTTTCTTTGGAAGATCCTGAGAAACCTGCTGGTGATGTTTCCACCGTGGAAACATCTCATTCCCAGAAATGATATATATTCTGTTTCATACTACTGTGTAATGTGATAGATGCAGAAACTTCTTCTAGAACAGAATTTCTCAACCTTCGCAAGGTTAAAACTTGTGGGCTCCAACTCCCAGAGTTCCCCAGCCACCTATGACTTTGGGACTCCACCTACCCTAAACTTGCCAAGGTAGAGAAACCTGTTCTAGAGGTTCTCTGTCGTTCAGGGTTGAACTCTGGATGTTGTTTGCTTTCAGATGTTTCAATGTACCATCATCCAAGCTAGCGAGTGTGGAGTTTGCTTATACCCACTAGTTCTCCTAGCCAGTGTGGGTGAAGGCGCAGCTTACTCCTTGGTAATTCCTAAGCCCTAACGCATTGGGTTTTTTGTGCCTCAAAGGTCCAGACAAATCATCCATTAACAAACACACACAGATAAATCACATTTACACACCACTCAAGAGACAATAAAAAAGCTAAGTAGGAAACAATACATTGGTCCTTGCCAGCGCCCAACACCTAGATAAGCAGGGATTAGCACCAGACAATCAATCAAGCAGGAAACAATGCCCTAATCCAGGGAGAAAAACCACAACTCTACCAACACTGGCAGGGCAAGCTGAGGCACATAAACAGGAGCAAACCCAGCACTCCCTCAGACTGATGATGTTATCTAGTTGGGTAATGAAATGTCTGTGAGCAAAGGATCATGCTGAGAGGACCAAGGACACATTTAATCTAGTAGATATTTGGTGCTTTTTTAGCGTCCCATTGAAAGCCCACTTTCCTTTTGTCCGTACGGTTCTTAAACCTGTTCTTAATTGTTGACTAATATCGGACTCTTACACATGCGGTTCAGGTGATTTATTATTTGAATTTCTCTGGCTGCCCACTTGCAGATTCTGGGCATTTGCCAAATAAAAACAAAAGCAGTTTAAAGACCTCAGTGCTAATTCACACTATTTGATGTCTGAAGGCTCAAAGCAGGAGCACCAGTAAATTTCTATCCTATTATTATTTCACTGCAATTCCTTACCTACTTGAGTAAGCCTCGGGGGGGGGGGGGGGGGTCTCAAAGGAAATGTGTTAAAAACACATGAAGAACGGTTGCAGGAACTGGGTATCGGCCAGTCTAGAGAAAAAGGGCTGGGGGAGGACATGATAGCAGCCTTCCGGTATTTGAGGGGCTGCCCGAAAGAAGAGGAGGGGGTCAACTTATTCTCCAAAGCCCCTGAAGGCAGGACAAGAAACAAGGGTTGGAAAGTCATCAAGGAAAGAAGCAAACCTGGAACTAGGGAGGAATGTACTGGCAATGAGAACAATTAACCAGTGGAACTGCTTGCCACCAGAAGTTGTGGGTACTCCATCCCTGGAGGTTTTTGAGAAGAGACTGGACATCCAGTTGTCTGGAATGCTACAGGGTCTCCTGCTTGAGCGGGGGGCTGGACTAGATGACCTCCAAGGTCTCTCTCTTCCAGCTCTATTCTGATTGATCGATTGAAATGGGAGCAAAACAGGCAGATTCACAGGATTCTGCTGTAACAATATGCCCCAAATATGAAATATTTCTGGTCCCTAAATCCTTCTGCAAATCATGTACAAAGAGCTGCACAAACACCCCCCCCCCCCCCCCCGGGGAATACCTGTGTCTTTGATGTCATGGAAAACTTGAGGCTGGCCATTGCAGAGCAGCTTCCCACCAAGTTTGAGATACTCCGTCGAGCTGACCGTGAAAACCTCCAGATTGACAGGCTGCTGCTCTCCAGCCGAGTCCCCCTCGTCCACCTCTTCTTCGCCGTCTTCTTCGCCCTCCGCTCTCCTGGACACTTCCTGCACAAGGCCACGCGGGGCCCGCTCTTACCCGCAGATCGAGACAAGCCGCCTCCCTCCACAAGGCTGCTGAGGGCGGCCACGGGCACCGCCAAAGCTCCGCGGACCACGCCGGGCGGCAGAGCCTCCCGACCTCCAGCACGGAGCCTTCCTACCTGCAGGCCAGCACTGAAGTCCATCAAGATCCGCTGCTTGGAAAACTCGTTCCGGGCCTGGACGCAGATCAGGCTGATGGCCCGGAGCCTGGCCTCCTTCTCGCGCTGCAAGGCACAGATCTGGACAAGGGAAGGCAGGGGGAGAAACTGGGCAAGCCCTTCCCCTGGGAGGTATGCCTCCATGGGGGGGGGGGGACGGGGGGGGGGGGGGCTTTTAACGTCCATCTCCTGAAAGCTGGAAGGCGAGGGGGAGCTTACTTGGAACTCCTTCTCCAAGATGTCATGTCTCTGAAGCCAGGCGGACTCTGCGGCTGCACTTTCCTTCCTCGCTGGCTGCACAGAAAGAGGGTCATTGGTAGCTGGGCACAGAATTCTTGGGTGGGGCTCAGAAAGCGCATTTCTCTTGGGGAGGTAAAAGACACCCCCCACACACACACACACACACAGAGATGAGTTGCATTCGTGGTCCACCTCTGAGATTCACCCCACCCCCCACCCCCCACCCCTTCCGGCTTGAAGTGGGAGCTGGGTGGGCCCTGAGGGGCGACAGGAGGAAGAGCCAGCCGGGAACTGACGGCCGAGGAGCAAACCCCCGTTTCTATTCGCAGCTCCGAGAGCCAAGGCGGCTGCATGCTGAGCCCGGGCGGAGGGGCAGACGGGGGCTACCTGTTGCTGCTGCAGCTGATCGTAAAGGTGCTTCTTCTCCGCTTCTGCCCGAGTTCTCTGGCGCTCCAGCTCTTGCAGCTCCTCCTCCAGGGGTCGGATCTGGTCTTGTAAGTGGAGGTCCCTGCAACGTTTGCGGGGCAGGGATGCTTCCGAGGGCCGCCTGGCTGGACTGCTGGATTCTGAGGCCAGGGACCCCCCAGGCCCCCTCCTTTTAGGGCACCCTGTGCTCAGCCAGCAACGGAGGCCCAGCCGCAGAAGAGTGCCCCCCCCCAAGGAAATTACCCCAGGGTAAATAGGTCTTTTTCCCCCCTTGAAAATGTTTCCCTTCTCCAAGAAGCTTCTTCAGTTCCCAGAAAGTCCAGCTTTCCAAATCCAGTTCAGCTTCTTGGAGGAAAAACAAAACTCTTTCCAGGGGAAAAACCCAGGAAAGTCCACTTGGAAAAGCTCCCCTCGCAAGAAAGCATGAAGTGGGTGGGGGGAGAACCTCCGCGGACGGGAGACCCCGTTTCCTGCTCTCACCCCAAAGGCGGCTTTACGCCCCGAGAGCAACGTTTGACGTGAAGAACCCTTGGGGGGGGGGGCTTCCCTCCCACCCTCCCTGCTGGAGCCCCTGCCCGGGGGAAGAGGGAGGCGCCACCTGATGATGTCAGTGATGCTGAAGCTGTCCGTCTTGGTGCAGACGAAGGCCAGGCTCCCATAGAGGCCGTCCATAAACAGTTGCCGGCGGAAGTTGGCACTCAGCAGCTCTTTGGCCGTCTTGTCGTCCACGGCTCGCGTGATGCTGGCAGTCACCCACACGGCACTGCAGTCCTTCAGGTACTGGGGGGGAAGTGGGGGGAAAAGCAGGGAAGCTGTTGCTCCAGGATGCCCAGCCTTCCAGCCTCGGCCGCCCCCGAATGAGCCACAGGCGGCCCTCCATTTACAACAGATCGTTTAGTGACCATTCAAAGTTGCGACGGCACTGATAAAAAGGGGGCTTAGGACTGTTTTTTTTAACCCAACTGTTGCAAAATTCCACGGGGTCCCCTGACCCAAATCCAGGCGTTTGGCAACTGACTCGTACTTACGACACGTCCTGGGGTCACGTGATCCCCTTTTGCGACCTCTTGGCAAGCCAAGTCAACGAGGAACCAAGATTCACTGAACAACCGTGTTACTAAGCTTACAGTTGCACTGATTCACTTAACAACTGTGGCACAAAAGGTCGTAAGTGGGGTAAAACTCACTTAGCAACCGTCTTACTTAGCAACGGAAATTTTGGGCTGCATTGTGGTGGTAAGTCAAGGACTGCCTGCCGCGTAACCCTTGCAAGGCTGCCCAAGGAACGGAAGGCCCCGCAGCCTCTTCCCAGAACTGAACCGCTCTGGCGACGAAGAAGCGGGTGGCCCCAGAGCAGAGGGAGGAGGGCGCCTACCTCTCGGGCTGTCGTGTCCCGAGCCGCGTTGGAGTCCCGGGTCCCAGGCAGGTCCACCAGCACCGCTCCCGTCCTCAGGACCTCCGCCGTGGCCACCCGGATCCTCACACACTTCACGATGGGCCAGAACTCCCCGCCTTTCATCTCACGCAAGTTGTCGGTATGAGAATCGATGAACTTCTCGATTTCCATGCGAAAGTCGGCGGCCTAGAAAGCCAACCAGCCAGCCGGGACGTGAGACTTTTGGAAGGCCTCCGGATTTAGCTTAAGAACCGTCTGAACACTTCCGTACAAAACCACCCTTTTTTATGCGTGTCCCACCCGGGACGTGTTAGGAATATAAGTCACCTAACAGGTATTTGGGTTAGAAATATATAAACCAGGATAAACATTTTAGTACTATATGTTTAAGGGAATGCAAGAGCATGCAATTGGGTGTGGTTTCTCAAATGGCCATAAGATGGAGCCAGAAACCTGGGTTGTTTCAGTCTTAGTCTCAGAAGAGAGTGTGTCTGAGTTGAGTATCTCTGTTTCCTTCTGTTGGAAAGTATTGCCGTTGCTCCATTTCTTCTAATTGACTGATATTAATGGATTTAATGTAAGTCTGATACCGAACTGTTTTTGACACTGGACTTTGATATTTGGATTATCCCTGGAATGAAAACTGACTGATTTTACCTGTGAATGACTTTGGATTGCTTATTTTGGACTTTGCTTAAACCTTTCTGGAAGTAAAAAAAAACTACATTTACTGTACAGTGTATCTGTGTGCTCTGTGTGTGTTATTCCAACACTCCTCTCTATACGTCTCCCTGTTTGCGCTCATTCTCCTAACGGGGAATTACCCCAACAGGACGTGGCTCAGGAACCACCGTAGTGGCTCTCACAGTGGATTGGCTCTGGTGGGACTCAGGTGAAGGAGGAAGCCCCGGGCCTCTCGCCCAGTTGACTCCCTCGGAGAAAGCCTGGGATCCTTCCGGAGCCACTGCTGAGGGTCGGCTGCAGGGCCGAGACCCTTCCACGGAGCTCCCTGAAGTAGCAAGAGGAGGGGAAGCCCAGGGCTGTTTCCCCAAGTGGTGCTCCGAGGCCCAGCCCTGCCCCGTGTCATTTCATCGCCTCTCTCTCTCTAGG